TTGAACCTGTCTGAGTCAGGCCCATCTTGGGTACAGGACAGATGTTTGTTAAATAGGTTCTTTAGCATTTTCTAGTATATAGATTATTTATTATTTCCCAGATGACCTTGTCTTGTACAAATAGAAAAAAGTTGCATCTAGAATGCTTAGCCATTTTGGTTAGTTAGATAGGGCAGTTTTGAAAAAGTTAAGGTGATCCAATGTAACCTTTTTAGGTGGGGAAGAAAACTGACTACATTACTAGTGTAGGTAGTTATAGTCTGACTATTCTTGCCCTATTTATGTCATCCTTTATTTGTCTTCTGATCATGTTCACGGCACGTCCATAGACAAATAGCACCTTGGGATCCCGGCCACCTCTTGGCACTTAAGCACACCACACATTTACTGAGAAACCAGAATATCCATTGAGAAAATGAGCAAAAGCCACACAATGTGGTTTTTCTCATAAAGTCAGGTGCCCCAGGAGAATGTTTACAGGACCGTAAGGAATAAGAATGGTGCTTATTAAAGCTGTGTGGTGTATAAAGCCCACTTACTCTCTGCTGAAGAACAGAGGCAAGAAAGGAGATTCTTGACTCTCTCTTAATTGGGTCTATGACAACTATCACTTCTTACTAAGTTGCAGTGGTTCAGTCTTGCCCTTGGACTGTGTGTAGAGTCTAAGACCCTGCAGTCTGTTCATCTTCTGCTGTTTCTCGGGGCATCTGTGATGGACGGGCAGTCAGAGAGGACTTCTTCAGGGAAGGGCCTGTGGCCTCCGGAGCGCACGGTGGCGACTTGCTGGCCCACTCAGGTGGGGGCAGGGCTGTGCAAGGAGGGTGCAGGTGAGGGCTTCCACCCTGCCCGGCCCCTATGGAACCTGCCCCAAGAAGGGTTCTGCTAAGCATTCAAATCCTAAGTGCTCAGAAAAAAAAAAAAAAAAAAAAAAATCCTAAGTGCTCAGAACAAAGTTTCAGCAACAGCAAGAGCAAACAAAGAAGCTGACCTTCAGCCGTGCCCCATGTTAAGACCACCGCCACTCTGTGTAAGTGGTAAATGCAGAAGCATTTAGATTGCTCAGTGGCAAATGCTTTACCTCAAACTGATTTTAAGTATTTTCTGCTTTGTCAACCAATAACTCAGTTTTGCTCTAAGTTGCTGCTTAAAAAGTTATCTGGAGCGGGGGTGGGAGCAGGACTTGAGGCAAAGAAGTAATTCCAAAATACCACGACTACTACTGCACTGATGATGGCATGCCTCAGAGAGAGTGCAGGTCCGGTTATGACTTTTGTGGTTTCCCAGTACATATTAAGCTTAGGTGCACACCACGCCATAGTCTTTTAAGTGCGCAATAGTGTTATGTCTAAATAAGCAGAGTACGTACCTTAATTTAAAATATTGCTCGGGGCACCTGGGTGGCTCATTTGTTGAGCATCTGCCTTCAGCTCAGGTTGGGATCCCAGGGTCCTGGGATCGAGCCCCACATTGGGCTCCCTGCTCAGCAGGAAGCCTGCTTCTCCCTCTCCCACTCCCCCTGCTTGTGTTCCCTCTCTCGCTGTCTCTTTCTCTCTGTCAAACAAATGAATAAAATCTTAATAAAAAAAATATTGCTAAATGGGGGCACCTGGCTGGCTCCGCTGGTAGAGCGTGCGGCTTTTGATCTCAGGGTCATGAGTTTGAGCCCCACATGGGGCATAGAGATTACTTAAAAAATAAAAAATTAAAAAATTAAAATATTGCTAATATTTTAGCAATATCTGAGCTTTCAACGAATCCTCCTTTGCTGGAGGAGGATCTTGCCTCGAGGTTGGTGGCTGCTGAAGGTGGGGGTGGCTGTGGCAATTTCTTAAAATTAGACAACAGTGAAGTTTGCCACATTGGTCGACCCTCCCTCCCATGAACAATTTCTCTGTGAGATGCGATGCTCTTTGATAGCGTGTGACCCACAGTAGAACTTCTTTCACTGTTGGACCGAATCCTCTCAAACCCTGCTGCTGCTTTATCAGTTCAGTATGTGGAATATTCTAAATCCTTTGTTGTCCTTTCAACAATCTTCACGGCATCTTCACCAGGAGTAGTTTCCATCTCAAGAAACCACTTTTTTTGCTTGTCCATAAAAAGCAACTCCTCATCCGTTCAAGTGTTCTCACGGGACGGCAGCAGTTCAGTCCCATCTTGAGGCTCCACTTCTAATTCTGGTTCTCTTGCTGTTTGCGCCCCATCTGCAGGGACTTCTTCCACAGAAGTCCTGAACTTTCTGTTTGTAAAAGCGGTCGGATCTGAGAAGCGCGGTAAAGCGAGGTCTGCCTGTAAAGATGATGTTGATGATGATCATGGATGTTTACTGTTTACTGACCATCCGGGCTCGTGGCATAGCAGCCTCCACCCGGGCGTTGGGAATGGTCCCCCTTCAGCCAGTTCCTGGCAGCTCTTCACCCCGCCTCCCCCCCAACCCAGGCCTTCACCTGCTGTTGCCCAGAACCAGTGGCTCCACAGGCCCCGTTCCCACCATCCTCACTCCACTGTCTGTCAGCTGAAAAGTGGGCTGTGCTGTAGAAATCCTTTGAAACCACAAAGGACACCTGAGCACATGGAAAAAAAAAAAAAAAGCTGCCCTCACTAGTAGTCATTGAAATGCAAATTGAAACCAATCAGGAGTTATTTCCACTTATCTAATAAGGAAACAATTTAATTATAACAACCAGAGATGGGAAAGGATCAGCAAGATTGGCTCTCCGGGAGGCGGGGGGGGGGGGGAGTAAATTGCAACTGTGGGCCTAAGGGCAGATTTGCCAATAGAGACAACATAATGCCCCCTATCTACTAATTCCTTTTCTAAGGATTTATCCTATGTAATCTGCCACCTGCTTAGTGTTTGCGAACAATAGTGTTTCTCAGAGAGTGTTGGAATGTCCTCTACAGAGGCCTAACAGTGATTAAAGGAATCCTGTCCCTATGATACAATACTAACCATCCTTTAAAATTATGCACTAGAGAAATTTTGCATTACATCGGAAGACGTGACACGGAGTGGCTACCCAAATGGGCTTTATTTAGGGTCACGCTTACTGCGTTTGGAGTGGTCCCTATTGCTTGCAAGCTGTGCAGCTTGGGAGAGATGTCAAACATCTCTGCGCCTCAGTTTCCTTATCTGCTAAAGGGAGAGAAAGCAGTGGAAATTGGGCATCCTTCCTACAGTGCCTGAGACTGCATACGTGCCCAAGTGCATGTTAAAACTTAAGTTCCTTACCTTCTGTGCCTCCGTTTCCCCCTCTGTCCAATGGGAATGACAGCAGTTCCTGTCTCGGGGGTGCAGGTGCGTTAACGGACAGAAGGCCCATGGCGTGGGCCGAGCGCGTAGTAACGGCCATGTACGTAGCAGCTGCTGGCTGCATTACGCGTGCAGGGAAATGTCCACATAAACCAGATCCCTAGCGGAGACCACGGCTCTTCGAAAGTCCGTATCCTCACCTACACCAGGCCTAGAGCATATGTATCAAAATAACCGTCACTGGGTGAGAAAGATGACAAGCAGGTTTTGTCTTTTGTACTTTACTCTATTTTTCCAGATTTTGGACAACAAATGCATATTGCTTTTATAATTTCAAAACCCAACAGCAGTTTTGGAGTTGGAACACTGTTAATGAGAGCAGTTGAGCATGCCGCGCTGTCTTCGGGTTGATGGCTTCTCCACACTATGGAGAAGCTAGCCCCCTAGCCTCCGGTCGCTTGTAGCAGCCTCTGACTTTCTGCGCAGGGCAACAGTGCTGTGCAGATTTCTTCTTCGGGCGCATTAGAACAGTGACTCCAAACCCCGGGTGCGTGCTAGGATCATTTGAGGGGATGACGAAATATACTGGTGTCGTGCTGCTGGCTAGATTGGGGGTTTCTCAAGGAAATTCTGACGTGCGGCCAGGTGATGGGCGGCAAGCTGGGACCAGGCTGGCACTTGGTACTTCCATTTCCTGCCTGCCCGGGGGTCCTGGCACATGACAGAGCCCCTCTTCTCCTGGTGAGTTTCCAGGTCGGCCCGAGCAGTGTTTCCCACATCACCTAAGATGAGACTCCCCTGGAGTGCTCGCTACAAATGTGGGCACCTGGACCCTGACCCAGACCTCCCGAATCTGAACTTTTACCAGAGAGACTTGGTAACGTGTGTATTTAACGAGCCCACTGGGGGCTTCTTGTCATCAGGGAAGTGCGGGAACTGTGTTGAAGCCCTGGTTCTGTCTCAGCCGCACACTGGGAATATCAGGGTACCTGGAGAAACCCCACTGCCGGCTCTGCCTCCCGCCTCTCTGACTCTGACGTGATGGAGCAGGGATATGTCTGGGCCTCGGGACTTGGGAAGTCCTTCTGGATTCTAACATGCAGTCCTGGTTCACAGTGACTTGCTGTGATGGTTCTCAGACTGGGGTGCCTGGGACCCCATCGCTTGGCGACATGTTAGAAATACACTTTTGTGGAGTCCCACCTGAAACTGCTGAATCAGAAACTGGGGATGGGACCCGGCCGTCTGTGCCTGAGCAACCCTTTCTCATGTTTCCTGCCCACGCTGAAGTTAAGAACCATGGCCCTGGGGTGGAGTTCTGAGAAGCAGGTTCCCAGACGAACTCCTGGAGAGCTCAGTCGTCAGGACTCAGCAGGGAGTGGACTTCTAGTGGCCCATGACCACACTTTGAGAAATGCTGCTCTCGAGTTGACCCTTGTTCCCTCGGGCACTTCGAAGTTCTAAGAGCCTTGACATCTCTCGAGTACCACCAACATCCTCATGTGCTTGTGGGCAGCCTGTTGCTGCCACTCCTAGGCCCTTGGTGGCAAAACTCGTGGTTGCCTTCCAACCATAATTAGTGGGACATGTTCTCTTTAAAGTCCATAAGTACTCTGGTTAGGAAGATCTTTTGCAGAAGTACTGACCTGAGTTTGACTCGGAACGCCAGTCACAGAAGCAGAGAAGGACGTGTTTCTTCTGTGTGGTTCTTCCCCCGGTATAACCTCTGTGCCTCTTTGTTTTGTAGGTTTTATCATCAGCCCGTGCTAAGGTGGTCCTCTCAGCCCCAGACTGCTCACGACCACGCCTACTGGAGAAGAAGAGGGCAGGAGGTCAGTGGCCTGCTGGGGCCAAGGGACCGAGACGATCTGGAGGTCAGAGGCATGGCCCAAGCACAAGGTCTGCCCATCCACACAAGGGAGGGTCCATGGGAAGTTGGAGGAAGGACAGAGAATGTGATGAAGAAGGCAGTTTGGGAAGAAGAGCTGAGAATGGCGGGACCTGCCAAGTGGCAGAATATAAGCCTCGAGAGCTGGAACCAGCCAAGGAAATTAGGGCGGCAGATGTCTGATGGTGATGGGGAGAAATTATTTCAAGATCTGTACCCATTCATGCAAGGAGAGCAGGCGTTGAATTCCCAAAGCAAAGGGAAATCCCAGTCCCTGCCCAGGGTTCTTTCCCCCGAGAGTCTGAGTTGCATGGACATCCCCATTCCATTAAATGATGGACATTTTCCAGGTGTTCCTAAAATGCCATTTTATCCCCCAAATTGTGCACCAAATTTGGAATCCACAAGGAACCCTGAGAAGAGCGGCTCCTCGGTCCCTTTACCCCGGCCCAAGTTTGGGCGGCCCCTCAAGCCCCCGTCCTACGACTCTCACCAGCTCTCCAGGGTGGGAGTGGAGAACAGCGACTCTCCAGACAGTCAGCCCGTAGACCTGTGTGTCTCCTACTTGAGCAGAACTCACGAGCCCAGGCTGGAGCTGTGTGTGTCCGACTCCGGTTTAGAGCCTCCGGTGTACGTGCCTCCGCCGTCGTACCGGTCACCTCCCCAGCACATCTCCAACCCCTACGCGGAGGATGCAGCACCCAGGCCCGAGAGCGGCGGTTCCCGTCAGCAGCAGCATCCAGTGGAGCTGCTGGGCCCGGGTTGTCAGCTTCCTCCTGGCCCCCCGGGACCCGGGAACGAGTATGGCGCGAGCCCCCACTCCCCTCGCGGGGTCCCCCTGCAGCCCCGGCCTACCGCCGCTTATGACAGCTCTGTTCTGTATATTCCCTTTGATGACCCACGGATCCGACATTTTAAACTGGCCCACCTGCAGGGCTTCTGTCAGGAAGCAAAGGCTGATGGGCAGCCCTACAACCCCAGCCCCGGCGCCACCCCGGCACCTGCGCATGGACACAGTCAACACGATGGCGCCGTCTCGAGCCCGCAGAGTGCAGTGACTCCGCCAGGCAGTGTGAGTGGCTCCACCACCACCGATCCCAGTCCCCAGTGGTCGTGGGGCCCGCGCCCCAGGGAGGCAGAGAACGGCGGCTTCCCTGAACAACGAGACCATGGGGCCATGAGAGGACAGTGGCCTGCCACGGGGGGCGGCCAGCAGGGACACACAGAAGGCCCAGCCTCCTCCCCCAGCCCGCAGGGCGAGAGTACCTGGGAAACTCGAACCAAGCTCAAGAAGTTTGAAACTGGGATTCCAACCAAGAAAAGTTCAAAGAAAAAAATGAACGAGACGATATTTTGTTTGGTTTCCATCCCAGTTAAATCCGAATCACATCTGCCAGATATAGATAGGAACAACAATGACTTAAAACAGAGCACTGGTAAAAAGAATGGGCTTGATAAGAGCCCGGCTTTGCAAGAACAAAGTCTGCTGAGCACGTCTTCCACCGACCTGGAGCTGCAAGCTCTCACAGGAAGCATGGTTGGGAGAACAGAGTTCCAGAAACAAGATCTGGGGGAACCAGAAGAAGGCAAACAAACAAATGACCTCAGATTCATTCACCCTACAAAACACAGAGAGCTCGAGTATTCTGGCTCATGGCCAGGGCACCAGTACAGAGATCAGCAAACGCAAACCACTTTCACCGAGGACTCCAAAAGCCCACGGCCCCTCGCTGCCGAGAAGCCAGGAGGGTCCCCAAAAGCCGTACTGACTCCCAGACTTTCAGACCCCCTGGCCTCTGAAGCTCACGCGCCCACGGCGTTAGCTTCCAGTGACCAGAACCAGAGGCCAAAGGCGCCTCCCCTCAAAGGTCAAATGTCCCTCAGCCCCTCCAGCAACAGCGCTTTCTCAAGGACTACGTCCTGCGTACACCAGGCACCTGCCCCAAAAGCAGGGCCCGGTCAGGCCGGTGCAGATGGCCGTGGCCGCAGCGCCAGCCCCGTGCCCCGGGGTGAGGTGGTGAAGGGGGAGACCACCGGCCCCTGCAACAGTAAGCAGCTGTTCGGGCAGTTTCTCCTGAAGCCCGTTAGCCGGCGCCCCTGGGACTTGATCAGCCAGCTAGAAAGTTTTAACAAGGAGCTTCAGGAGGAGGAAGAAAGCGGTCAGAGTGGCAGTGACAGTCGCAGTGAGGACAGTGACACAGAGTGGCTGTGCGAAGGCAAGAACTGGGGCTTCGGTGAAGCCGGCCGGGCTTGGAGAGCTGAGGAACCCCGAAGGAGGCCAGCGCCGGAGGAGCCCGGGGCTCGGCCGGGAAGAGTGAAGAGCAAGTCTGAGAGCTGGAGCGAGGAGCAGAAGCCTGGGCGGTCCTGCGCCCCGCCTCATTCCCCGGGCCCCGCGACGGTGGGGCCGGGCGGCGGCAGGGGTGCAGCCTCGCTGTGGGCACACGGAAGCCCAGTCGCGGAGGAGGGGCACCAGGAGGTGGAGCACAGAATGAACGAGCTAGCCGTCAGCCCAGGTCCGCTGCACAGAGTGACGTCTTCTAGGTCAAGTGACACAAAACCAGCGCCCTCGCCCGATCCAGCTGAACTGAGGCAGCCCCGGGGAAGTCAGGAGCTGCCCGGTGTTTCCATTTCTGGGGAGCTGAGCACAGCACCCCCTTGGCGGGCTGGGGCTGGAGGGGAGAGGAGCCCGCTGCTCCCACTCTCTCTTGCCAGCAAACCCCGAGGACTTTCCGCACCGGACTTGAGGTCTGTGGGGCTGCTGCCCACACAGAAGCCGAGTACTGATAAGTTAGATGGGTCTTTAGGGGAAGCGAGTGCAATAGAGATCCCCCCGAATGAGTCCCTTCAAGCGAGGGCTGCGAGGATCCTGGGCATTGAGGTGGCCGTGGAGTCCCTGCTGCCGGGCTCCAGGAGAACGGGACAGAACCAGCACCCTGGGTCTGATGGAAGTGCCCGCGGGCCGGAGGCCCCCAGGGAGGAGTCTGTGTCCAGCTCAGCCCAGCCAGATGACCCCCCCGTGTCCACGGACGCCTTTTATGGCAGGAGAAAGTGCGGCTGGACCGAAAGCCCTCTCTTTGTTGGGGAGAGGGACAGTGCCCGTCGGGCTCCCCTGGCTGCTGAGCACTCAAGTGTGGACAGCACTGTCCCCAGCAAGGCCCTGAGCCCCGAGCCTCAGCCCAGCCCCCAGGAGTCCCAGGCCTTCAATCACAAGGACCTGGGGACAAAACCACCCTTCAGGTCCACTCTGTTCCATTTCATAGAGAGGACCCCAAGTGTGTCAGTCTCAGAAAAGAGGCTCAGAAGCACTTCCAAAGTGATCGAAAGTTTACAAGAGAAACTGGCCTCCCCCCCGAGGAGAGCAGACCCTGACCGCTTGATGAGGATGAAAGAGGTGAGTTCTGTGTCTCGGATGAGGCTCCTGAGCTCCCGGAGCACTGACTCCATGGAGGAGGCTGAGGAACTGAAGGCCGAGAGGGGCCCTGGGGTGCCGCCTGGAGGCCCGGTGTCTCTGAATGCTGGGGAGCTGTCGCGGAAGGCCGGGCACCCCCCCTCTGTCTCCAGGGGCGCCCCCTCGCTGGAAGAAGATGGCCATCCATTGGCACAGAGGGACAAGAAGAACGTCCAGCAGGATTTCTGGTGCCCAGGTGAGGAGTCGGGCGAGCAGGCGGGCGTTCTCAGAGTAGAGAAAACACCAGGTTGGTGGATGATGAAAATCCTGCATTGGTGAAGTTGAGATTGTGAATTATTGTTCCAAAAGATTCTTCCTTTTACAAAGAATTATCCAGAAGCTTTGCTTAAAAATCAAGATCCTGTGGTGTATTGTGAAGGATTATATCTTTATGGAAATTACCTATGCAAACAATTATATACAGTTATCTATATAAACAAGTTTTGGGTCCCTTACACCGTGAAGAGGTAAATCAGTAAAGTATTCCAGCTTTGGTGCAACACCTTGATGAACCTTGCAGGAGGCCATAACATGGGTAGTCTGCACTCTCTCCCAAAACAAGCATTCACGCAGACCACCCACACACTCTTTATTAACTCTGATAAGAAAAACGTACCCAGATAATGATATAAACTGCCTAGCCCATGATGTTGTGTCTCACACTGCACCTTCCAAGATCCTTTGTCCCCCATTTTATCTGTTTTTGCTATCACACCTTTTATGAAGCTTGAAAAAAGTTTAGGAGATAAAAGGAACAGTTTGCACTTTCTCAACACCCTACCCCTTTGTAAAAGGTTCACCCATCAGCTCTGTCCCAGAAGGCCCCCTGAGGTCTGAGTGCTAAAGCCCAGGACAGAGGGTTTTGGCAGCAGGGCTGCACAGGCCTGCAGGCCTCTCCCTTCTCTCACCTTAATGCCTTCAGAGCTGCTCCAGGTCAAACCATGAGGCGGGTTCCTGGTGGCAGCAACAGGGATTTCTCACCTCTCAGCTCTGTCACAAACAGGCAACTCTGTTTCCAGCATTTTCTTTAGGGGCTGGGGAATTAGCAATGATACATTCTAGAACTAATGAGAAAGAAGAGTGGAGGGACATGTCAAAAGGCCCGATCGTAAACCGCAGACAGGAAGGGACCTTGAATTGTTCATTCGGACCTTTTAACAGTAAGGGGAAACTGTGCCCTCGTGTGTGTGACCTCGCTGACCCGGGGCCCCGGGCCCCCCCTCCTGAGCCACGCCCTCTGGTCTTACTGTGGGGTGGTGCCCTTACCCCCACCTTCTCTCTTTCCTACTTGGAAATCCAAGAATTTAAAAGTCAACGGCCAAGATTCCTTATTTCAGCTAGAAAAGTCCAGAATTCTTGTTCCACAAAACATCCCCATGGCACTTTTTACATTTTCCCACAAATGCACTATGATTCTTGGGAGTGTTAGCCAAGTGTTGCTCAGTTGCTTATACAAAATACATGATTGAAATAACCCATTAGTCAGGGCCCTCTTGGATCATCTGACTTGACAAATGTGGTCTTTGCCAAGAAAGAGAACACTAGGATGTGCAACTCTTGCCATAATGGCGGAAAAAAGTGTTGGCCCAGTTTTTGAGCTATTGGGACTTATTAGGCTTTAGCCTAATTCCTCTCCTGGTCCCTCCCTCTCCCCACCCAAAATATGCCCACCTGCTTTTAAGTGTGAGCTAAAATGAGTTTCTTCTTCTGTCTTGTCTCATCCCAAGAACTGTAAGGATTTTAAAGTGAGACAAATCCTGTTATATTAAAACACCAGTTTGTCAAGATTTCTGTGTCTCAGTCCACGGTCCACATATTTCGGGAGGATTTTATAACACAAAACTTCTAGTTCAGTAAAGCACTCCGTCACTTTTTAGCTTGATCATTTGGCATGTGGATGGGGTTGGACAGGTATCTGAAAACATGTAGATAATGCCAATTTTAATGTCAGCTAGCCATTAGAAACAGCTCTTCGTAACCTTTTTTTTTAAAAAAAAAACTGTAGTTACTGACAGAATTTTTTTTCCTCTCCATCTGATGCATTTATTAGTACATAATAAGATGACCCCAGATCTAAAGGCAGAGAGCTCCTCGTGATGCCACATGGCTCCCTCTGACACTCTTAATTGCATAGCAGGACGCCATTAGGGACGATTTCGTACACGCGCCAGGGCTCAGGTGAACCTCCGTCGGCCCCTTATGTGACAGTCACCAGGCCTGTCCCAAATCATTCTGAGAGGAATGCAGATCATAGGGTGGAGATGGTCAGACTTTGAGATATGTTACCTTTTCCCCTCATTGTGGCTTCACAAGTTAGAATAAAGCCTTGTTGCTTTTTTTGCTGATAAACTCTTGGATTTTGTTTTCCTCTGGATATATTTTATCATGTTACACACACGAATCATCATCTTCATCCCCACCCCACCCCTGTTCCCGTCATCCCGGTGGGCAGGAGCCACTTCGCCGCTCCCAACTGCACAGCCCACCTAGATTCAGACTTTGTTCTGGAATTTTAAAATAAGTTTATGTCACGGCTATCTGTGACGTCCCCCTGCCCAGCAGACACACGCACGCACGCCCTTCTAGAACTTAATGATCTGTGTGGTGGGGGTAGTACCCGTTGTACCATAAATACCTTTATTGCAACTTAAAGGTGGTCCTTTCAGCTGGCATCTCTTTAGTGGTCTTTTGGGCCTCTGGCTAAGAAGGCAGTACCTCAAAACTAACTCAGGTGACAAAATTCCATCTGTGCTGGATGGATCCTGTTCCAGTTTGGAAGCATAATCCAGGCGCTGGTAGTGTTCAGAGCCTGCTGGTTCCGTAGCCTCCGTGGCAGACTCTGTCCGTGTGGGCGCAGGGAGAGGACACGGAGAGACCGCTTCAGGCCAGGGGGTGCATCCTGGGATGGCGTGAGGTGCCAAGCAGTGGCCCTCGGGGGAAGGCTGGATATCAGCCCAGCTTCGAGGTCAGTGGCTCTCAAGCATGTTAATGCACAAAATACCCGCAAGGGTAGGACTTAGTGAGTGGTCTCCCGCTGAAATATTGCCCACCGGAACCAGGATGCTCATGACTCAGAGTAACCTGTCCTCTAGACCTGCGTCAGCCGCGATGATAGCTCCTGGTTTCATGTGGGTCCTTGAGCAGTTGAAATGGGGTTCATCCAAACTGAGAGGTGCTGCAAGTGTAAAATACACACCAGGGTTCAAAGACTTGGTCTAAAGTTTTTTTTAAGTTTCTCAATTTTTATATTGATTCCCTGTCGAAATGATAATTGGATATATTTGGCGAAATAAGATATATTATTAAAATTAACTTCACCTGTTCCCTTTTATTTGCTTTAACACAGCTTCTAGAAAAATTTAAAATAACGTTATGTGGCATACATTATATTTTTATTGGACCTACACCCTCCACGATCCGCAGAAGGAGCCCGTTGTCCTCCAGAGCTCTTTCCCTGGCTCCCTGGCTCTGGGCCGTTAGCTTCAGCAGTGGGGCTCTGGGGTGCAGGCCTGTTCTGTGGGGGTGTCTCCCTCTGCCCGGCCCGAGGTGAGCTGCTCAGTGCCCACTGTATGTACCTTGAGGCTCAATAGATGCTCAAGCTCTTCCTGGCCTCTCAGCAGCTGAAAATGTGCCCCTCCCACCGCATCATCTGTTAGTGACTGCCCACCCCATTTCCAGTGGAGAAAAAGGTGTTTTTGCTCAGAGGAGGGCCCCCTCGGATTCCGCACCCAGGAGGCTGACTGAGCACAGAAATGCCACGCTCGGCTGTCGGTAGCCTGTGTCATCACACTGGGTGTGGCCAAGTGTAAAAGATCAGAAGGCAGCAGACCCGCCTGAGCCCCACTTGCTTTTAGCCATGTGGGCACTTGGTGCAGCAAATCATGTTGGGGGCGGAGCAGGCTGCTTTTAGCCACGTGGGCACTTGGTGCAGCAAATCATGTTGGGGGCGGAGCAGGCGCTGTGTCCTATCTGGTTTCTAATGTCTGACTCCGCGCTCTAAGCACGGTTGTCGTCACGGTTGTAGTAGGGATCCTAACCCAGTCGGGGCTGAGTTGAGACGGTGGGGGGAGGTGTGGGAGAACATTCGGCTGCTAGAGAAGTTGGGATCTATATGGCCTTCGTCATGTACAGCGGTCCAGAGAGATTTGAGCAGATTGTTTTGCAATAGTCTATATAGCTGTCAAATTCTACCAATCCTTCCAGATTTCATAAGTGTTTTTTCTTAAACGGTTAGGACACCTTTGAGCTGCTGTGGCAGGGAATTCTGACTAGAGGAGGCACACAAGTGAGCTTGGGGTTGACAGGGTCCCAGAGATCTGTGAGTCCCCAGGGGGTCAGATTCAGCATCACCCAGCTGAAGCCCTCATGGTAGCTCCGGACCATTGTCCTTGTGTATGGTGTCCCATTTTGGAAACCCCACTGCTCACTTGGGCCCAGGTTGGGATTTTCCAGTGTGGGCTGTGGAATGGGTCAGCGCGGTGGCCCAGGCCCGTACACCCGGGTGCGTGGGAAGGCCTAGAAGAGGGTGCTACCAATCATGTGTCCATCCCGGGGCCTGTCTGCTGGCTGGTGGCAGTCAAGGACAGGAGGCCTCTCGTTGCCAGCCAAGTGGTCAGGATTTCAGGGTCCTCAAGCCTTTCAGGGACAGCATTTGATTACAGAGATGCATTTTTTTTTTAAGATTTTACTTATTTATTTGAGAGAGAGAGTGAGAGAGCAAGAACGTGAGTGGCAGAGGAGAGGAGATCAGGGAGCCCGATGTGGGGCTCGATTCTGGGACTCCAGAATCACGACCTGAGCCGAAGGCAGATGCTTAACCAACTGAGCCACCTGGGTGCCCCACAAAGATGCATTTTTTTTTCCATTTATATGAAATTTTTTTAAAAGATTTTTATTTATTTATTGAGAGAGAGAATGATAGAGAAAGAGTATGACAGGGAGGAGGGTCAGTGGGAGAAGCAGACCCCCTGCTGAGCAGGGAGCCTGATGTGGGGCTCGATCCAAGGACTCCAGGATCATGACCTGAGCTGAAGGCAGTCGCTTATCCAACTGAGCCACCCAGGCGCCCCAAGATGTATTTTTTTTAATGCAAGATTTCATTAGAGTTGTAATTTACAAAAAAAGGAAGAAAGAGAGAGAGAAAGAAAAGAAAGAAAAGAGAGAGAAAGAAGAAAGAAGGAAAGGAAGGAAGGAAAGGAAGGAAGGAAGGAAAGGAAGGAGGGAGGGAGGGAAGGAAGGAAATCAAGGAAGGAAGGAAGGAAGGAAATCCTTAGTATCAGCCAGACATAGTGTTGCATTTAGTGTTACCGATGCCCTCCTGTTCCACTGTGGACCACAGGAAAGAACTATCAGAAATTAAGCAACTCACGGGGCGCCTGGGTGGCTCAGATGGTTGAGCATCTGCCTTCGACTTGGGTCGTGATCTCCAGGTCCTGGGATCGAGCCTCACGTCGAGCCCAGCGTCGGGCTCCCGGCTCACTGGGGAGTCTGCTTCTCGCTCTCCCTCTGCCTCTCCCCCTGCTCATGCTCTTTCTTTGTCTGTATCTCTCTGTCTCAAATGAATAAATAAAATCTTTTTAAAAAAAATTAAGCAACTCACATGTTTCCATCTGTGATTAGGTAATGATCATACATGTCCTTTTAAAACAGTCTTTCGATGATAGTTTCTTACTCAGTGAAATCAATATTGTTTAAATGTCTAAGCATTCACTTTACACTTGTGGAGTTTTTGTTTCCTCAACATACTTATTTATGGTCTGAGGATTAAACAGAAAACACATTAATTGAATATACCACTAATTTTTTGGTTTTGCTTTTTTTTTTTTTTTTTTGCTTTTTCACAGATTCCTATGACCCTAGCAGAGTGGAGAGGGTGTGAGGAGATGCCAGTGAAGCCCGAGATCACTAGAGTTTACTCACCGGGTGTCGTCTTGTCTGGCCTGTCCTCCTGGCTCGCCCGTGTGTAGGCTGGAGCCTGCTGGCTTGTAGATCCCGTCGCAGTCTCTCCCACTGCCACCAAGGAACTCCTCGTCCCTACAGAATCACTTTGTGGAAATAAAGCAGTAGTCCATTGAAACCATCTGTTTTCATAATATGAAGAGTTAATACCTCTATTTAGAAAGGAGTCACATAAACTCTCCGTAATGATGGATTTAGCCAAGCTGGTAAATAGTTTGGTGTTAATCTGGTTCTATGTGAAAATTCGAACGTGAATGATTTTGAAAGGACTGTGAATGTCATAAATTCCCCTCTGCATCTCCACAGCCTGTGGTCCATGCTCGTGTTAAGGAGTTTGGGACTTGGGCCAGCTGCCCGGTGTTCCAGCACTTTGAGTTTAGGGGAAATGGGATGAATATATACGACCCGTTTCTAATCAATTTGGCCTTCTGCTGCTGCAAGTAACTCTATTTATAAGTAACTTGCCATCAGAGAATAAAAGCAATATCTTTTTAAGTTCCTAAAAGATTAAAACTTGTACCATAATGTACTCAGAGTATTATTTATCTGGGGATGAAATACTTTGATCATTCGCAAACACGCCATCGTCTGCTTTGCCCTCAGTATTATCTATTTTTGTGTTCTGTATGGATGTTTAGAAATTCTTTATATGAAAAATAATTGCTGGTTTAAAATAGACCATTTTAACAAAGTAACTATATTTCTTTTTACAAAAAATGCTATTTTTCTATGATGTAAACAATTGTGAGGTGGCAGATTTTTAAGGAAGTATTATTTTATTTAAGAGTCTGTATCCCTTTGTGTGAGAGGAACCCAGAAAGGGTTCACATTTGTTTTAAAGCACACATCCCTTACCCCTTCACAACTCAGCTCCTTTTCTTCTATCTTAGAAAGAGATGTCCATATAGACATTTTACAGGGTTAATAAAATGAACTTTTCACAAAGATGCTTTTGCAAATGTAGCTGTAAGGTGATATTTGAAAATAACCTGCTCAAAACCAGCCAACATCCTTACAACTATTTTTGCTGCCATATCCATTAGAATTACCAAAAAACATAGCTTCATCTCGATCTGTCTGTGGAGATCTCCCCTGAGACCAGAATTTCCAACCCCCTGCCCCTTTACAAAATACTGTATTTTTATCTAGAATGATCCTTAATTATTAGTCTCTGCATATTTTTAAAAGTGCCAGAGACATTATATATATATATGCCAATACAAAAGTACTACGAGGCCTATGTATTCAACTGTGTTTACTATTGCAGTAGCCTGCACAAATTTTATGCATTTTTATGCGTTTACCCCTTCTTTTGAAGTAAGGTATCTTGGTAGCTAACACTTCCTGAATGGTTTCTTGTCTCTTTCCTTCCTTCCCTCTGTTTCTCCCTCTCTGTTTCTCTCTCTCTTTTTCTTTGAGAAACCACCTTATCTATTTTTAGACGTTTCAAATTCCTAAAATGTGAACTGTTGGGTGGTCTGCAATTTGGCCCGCAAACAACTCTCTCTGGCCCGTTTTTATCTGTACCATATGACTTTATTTCCTAAGAACTTCTTGTCTTTGGACTGTAATAAACAACACAGAATCTAAGTAATTCTGAACAATCGTTTCAAATACACTTATCTGCACTCTTCGTTCTTACTCTTACTTCTTTCCAGATTTGGCTCTTGTGAAAAGCTGTAGTAGGCTCTTGCTTTCCCAGCAAATGAGATGGGCCAAGTCTCAGCATTTGGAATGGTTAGAAACTTTTTCCCAGGAATCATTTAATGGGGAAGAGGTCAGTTAGTCTGTTACAGTTGGTGAATCACTCAAGTCATCTACTAGAACCAAATGAGGGTGGCTACCTGGAGGTCTTTGTGGGGTCTGCTTCTCTCCTTCAATTGTACGTATCTATGATCTTTGTTCTGACTTCCTCTTCAATTTGTTGATCCCATCTAAAAACTTCTTTTAATCAAAATAACTAAATTTTAGCTTATTCTTCAAGAGAAAGAAAAGGATCCTGAAGAGAAAAAAACAGGGTAACCTATGTATATCACAAAGCAAAATAGGATACTCTTTCAGTTTCTATTCTAAATTGTACCATCTTTCTGAAACCATTCTGAATTTAGTTGAAATTACCAGTATTTATACTTTGAACCTTAATTTCTGGATTCCAGCCTGTATATAAATCTTTTGGTATGTGTTGGGGGGATAACTTTGACAATTCGACTTTTAAGCTTGCACATTCTGAGGTAAATAATACATTCTCTAATCCAAAATAGCTTCCCAGAAGTTTCAAACTTAATGCTAATTATTCTTTTATTATTACCACTTCTCATGCATATATAACTATCCATTATTATTTGTGGCCGGAAAAAAAAGTTCTCATATTTTGTGTTTGCCATTGTTGTTCTCGTATGTATGCTTAACTGTTGGTGTTTCATAATTTGGGGCTTATAAAATTAAAAGTTCTACATTTGGCCATTTGGACTCTACATGAGGAATTGCACATGAAATGTATTTGTACTTTTTGATTTACAAAAGAAGGGAAAACATGTTGGTAATAGAGCTGTAATTGCCTTGCTTTGAAGAAAATTTCAAAATTACCGAAAACCAAGTACCTTCATTATATCCTTTTCAACCTTGTGTTTCTGCAGGCTGCAGAAAACTGCCTGCCCAAGGCACACAGCTCCTGCGCGCATTTGCAGAATGCTTTTCCGTGTCGCTTGTCACATGGAATTCTTTAAAAGTCCCTGAAAACGTATCTGCTGAGATCCTGGTTTCCCTACTAGAATCGTAGGTGAAGGTTTCGATCCATGTGCAATTTCTAAGTCGAACTTTTTCTCTTCTGTTTGACTGTTGGTTGAAGTGTTGTGGTTAATGCAAGTTCAAATGTGTGAACTCAGATGACTCTGGAACTAGCCCCTGACCGCGTTTTGCAGCAGCAGGATGACGGACTCTGGTAGTGGCTTGGCTTCGGGCTTCTGAGCAGGAAGGGCGCAGCTGCCCCACTGTTGACACGACTCCTTCCCAGCTCGGAGCAGAAAGGACTGATGGAAAATATGATGAAGCCACCATTTCATCTGTGACTGCCCCCCCCACACACACACCCCGCGCCAAAGACTGTGTTTGTGTGTCTTGGCTGTTTTGCTCTGTTTTATTTTGTTTAAAATGATGAAGTAGGACACAATTAAGTGTCAGGTTAGCAGCTCTTGGAAAGTGACCAGTACAGCCGGGTTCCCACTCCCTAAAGAGCCAGGCTCAGAGAAACCCTCCCAGTTTCCTGAGCTCTCGTGAGCAGTTACTGCTGTGTCCAGGCCTTGTTCTGCCAGATCTGTCTGTGCTCTCGGGGTGGGATGAGTCTCCGGCTGCAGCGCTCCCAGGCCTGGGGGATTTTCGCATTTGCTTTTTCTTTTGTTTGTAACTGCAGATTCTGTACATCTGTTTGTGGGAGGAGAGTTGCTACTCAGGACAGGATTTGAGAGACAGATTCCAAGTGACCTTTAAGAGTCTGCACGGTGGGAGGTCCTTTTCCAGGAGAGTGGGTTGGTCCACCCTGGGACCCACCAAGTGAAGAAGGAGGGGGATGGTAAAATAAGGTTAAAGAGAGAATAGGTCCCCAGCCTTCACACTTTATTTAAAAAAAAGGGGGGGGGCGGTTAAGACTACAGTCCAGATTGAGGCCTCTTCAAAAGGTCAATATGGTCTAGCCAGCTGCCTATCGAAACAGTCCTTGGGTTCATCAGCAGTGCGGAGAGGCGGGCAGAGTGCCTGCAGATTCCTGGCTTTGACTTTTGAGAGCCCCTGTCACAGTTGTGTTTATTACAGAAGACAGGGAGGTCCTTGTTCTGTGGCCTCTGTGCAGTGACTGAAACTTGAACCCAAAGTCAAGTCCAGACTATCCAGCCGTTGGTCCCATTGCCTTGATTGGGGGGCGGTGGGGTGAGGGGGAAGCGCTCCCCATAAGGTGATTCATCCCCTTCTCCGTACAGAAGCCAGGTCTGCTGGGGCTTGTAGCCAAGCCAGAGGGGCGAGACCTCTCTCCTTCATCCTCCACCCCCACCCTGTGGCAGGGCTGACATGTGTGACACTCACTGTCACGGAGCAAGAGAGAGACAAAAGCAAGTTCAAGTTGAGAAGCATATGGCAGAAATTAGAAATGAAAACCATATGTCCCAGCCAGGGAGAAAAGCAGTAACCTACAGATTATAAAAATCAATGAATTACTCTCCACTTGGGTCAGCTGAAATTTGAGCCCTCACGCTCAGGCCTGTCAGGAAAGCTAAGCAGAAGCATCTCGAAGAACAAAAAAAAAAACTTCCCAAATGTGGTAAATACAAGGCCCCGTAACCCCACAGAAACTCTGTATCTGCTCATCATTTCTTTGGGCACCATGAAGACGGAAGGAGACAGGTAGAGAGGGTCCCAGGAAAAGACACAACGGGTAGCAGCCAGTCTCCAGCCGTGGCTCATCACCCCCGGATCAGGCAGCACCAGAGGTCTTAAGGTGACGAGAGGTGGAGGTGGGTGAAGAGGAGTAAAGCCCAGATGAATGTCTTCAGGGAGCTCTTGTATCTCTGCACAATGTAAAGACTTGCTAGTTCCGGATGGTTGGCCTGCTCAGTAGCACACGTATTCCAAATAAACATTTTGCATGAAAATACCTCTGTCCGTTGTCCTTGGCTGTGGGTGCACGAGCTGCCCCGTGGGCCTTCAGGGCTGGTCCCTGCACCGGCTGCAGCTCAGATGGTGTCCTAACACAGGGACGGGCGGTCCAAGGACGTCCAGCACCTCTTGGTCTCCACTGAGTATTTCCTGGGTGACCGAGCTCCCTTTACATCTCCCGCAAAGACTCACTACAGGGTGGAAAGAGGCCTACGGTCAATTTGTGGATTAGGTTTGACTTTGGGCTCCATTCTTAGCCAAGTGACCTTGCCCATGTCCCTTCCCTGGCTTCTGTTTTCCCCATCCGCCTCTCCTACTCCTCGAATATAAGAACCAAACATCTAGAAAAGCCCACATTGTGGATGTTCAATGAATAGAAAATGGAGGTAGACCTGTACCTTACAGGGTACAGGGAAAATGCTTGTCGGCGAGCTTGTAGGTTTGCAGATCCAGGCCTTAGTCCTCTTACAGGGATTCACCTCCTTGTTTCTAGTATCCTAGTTCTGGAAGCAGATGCAAATTTAGCACTCTG